TAAGGGTTCCCGCTACCACGCTAACGGCAATATAGAAGCAAGAAAAAAAATTCTCTTTTTAAATGGAAATGAATAAAACAGGTTCAAAAAAGAAAGGGAACCATTAGCATCACCCATCACCAGTAAAGAACAAACCTATTTTCGTGCCTTGCGTACGCCGCGAGTCTGCATGTTCTTGCGTGCCTCAGCAGCGATAAGCTTCTCCTCACGCTCCTGAATCACGTTGATGCGGAGACCCTGTTGCTTCGGCAGCGTCACAGGAACGCTCTGCATGTCCTTGCCAATCACAAAAATGTTGGACGCCCGAGTAGCAAACTCGTGTCCCGCCGCATCCTTCAGGCGTGCAATGTCGAACGCACCAGGGTGGCGCTCAATCGACATGATCTCGCCAATACGGCCGCGGTTCGCGCCGCCGGTGACCATCACCACCTTGCCGTTGCTGGACTTGATGAGGTCCACCACCTTCTTCTCCTTCAGGTTGTACACCAGGGTGTCGCCACGGTGGGTGCGGGGGTCGGGGTAACGAATGCGGTGACCGTCGTGTGTCATGGCAACAGGAATGCGGCCAGTGCTCGTGTAGACGTTCTCCACCTTCAGGAGCTTGATGTTCCCCTCAGCCTCGCCAACCTTCACGAGGGCAAAGCGGCCCTTCACGTCGTACAGAATGCGGAAGCGATCCCCGGTCCGTGGGATCTCCACAACGTCCATGAAGCCAACCGGATACTTGGTGTCCTTGCGGGGCTTACCGTCCACGCACACAAGGCCCTGGCGGAGAATCATCTGAGCCTCGGCGGCGTTCAGCGCATACTTCAGACGATTGCGGATGATGATCATAAGAGTCATACACTCACGCAGCTTGTGGGGCCCAGCACGGGGACGTGGAGCAAACACGCCCGTGAGCTTGCTCAGCATCCAGTCCTTGGGGGCATAAAGGCGCTTCAGGTGCTTCTTGGTCATGTTTTAGGTTCCTTTTACACGTATGTAGAGAGTATGGATAGATGCAAGGAGTGGAATGGGGAAAAAAAAGGCGATAGAAACTAAATGTATAATAAAAAATAATATTGCCTCGTTATTCTTCCCACTTCGCACGGAGTCACAAGAAATTCAGCAAATAAAATCTGACAAGAAATCATTTTTTCCAGAAAGCACGTTTGACCACCGAACCCCACGAGTGCCAGTGGCTGCCATCGCATAAAATGTTACCCGGCAAGAAAAAAAAGGAAGGAAGAGAACGCTCAACCCACCCATCGCCTCATTTTTTTTTTTATTCATTAGCTTGGAAAAAAAGAAAAAAATAGTAATGCACAATCAAAAGTAGGAAAACCAAAAGACTCGTAATGTCGCCTGGGGTATCCAAAACACATTCGCAAGCGCCGCCTTTTTCGTCAAGACCCTGAGACGCTATCAGTTCACCTCGTGAGATTTCACCCGCGGCATTCCCTCGACAAAAGCGTCTAAAAGAAAGAACAAACAAACAAAAAAGAAGCCCTTATGCTGCAATACAGCCGCCCCACGGCCCACACGGCATTGTCTGTCCTTTTCAGGCGCTAAAATCTTCAACGAAATTTTCCATTTCCATTGAGCCTCGCGCAAACACAAGCAGTAACTTTTGCCAACGTTTGACTTGTGTCTGTGAAACTGTTTTGCGGAAAACTTGTTTGGGGTTAGCTGCTTTTGTCCTCCATAAACGCATACACGCTTCCCGTGTGCCCCAATCTACAGCTACCCAGCCGAAGCGGGCGCGAGAGTACGGCCATATTGTTCATGCACTGCTGCACTGCCCCATTGCAGTTGGGTCGCATTATAATACGCATCTGAATGAGGCTCTCGTTCCCCTATTCCACACACACACACAAAAAAAAAAAAAAAAAAAAGACACCACAATGAGAGGTGGCAGTTTGGCTCACCGCACCACCCGACATCCCCCACACTTCAGAAAAGATTGATCCAACACCCACACACAAGTAAACAAACAAACAAAAAAAACACATAAATCATATTTTGTCCTAACCGAACTCGTAGTGAACAGAGGAAGCGGCAGTCTTTTTTGGGACTTCACATCCGCCGAACAACTCCGCATTAAGAGCGGCAGCGACAGAAAAAGCAGTAAAATAATAATAATAATAATAAAAAGCGCCCACCAATTCAACACACACCCTCTGACAAAAACAATAATCCAACAATCGTCAAAGGAAACGGGGCAGTTAATTAATGCACTTTATCATCTGCTCAGCCCCAACCAGTCCCAATTCTACCTACAGACATCAAAGTCAAATATAAACCCGTTAAAAAATTCAACAATTCTTTGCTCCTATAAATTGGGGTATGAAAAGAAGGAAAGGTAGCAAACAAAAGATCAGCACGAGTGGCCAACTTTGGTTTCATCCCCATCGCACCTTTCAATAGAAAATATGGTTGGCGGGTTGTGGTCCTCATCCACTTCATCGTCACGCTCATTTGCCGGCGTTTGTTTCGTGTTGGACCCCCCTTGACTCCGTGTCGAGAACAGTTGACGGCGCAGGTCGATCGTGACAACCTCGCGACGAATCGAATTGCAAGCCGAGATCAGCTTCCCAAATCCCAAAACCAAATCCTGCGATTCGCTTGGTTTTCCCCGTCCTACCGCAATGTTCCACTGCAGCCCACTGGTCTCGCATTCCTTCATGGTACCGTAGTTAATAAGACCACATGTCACGCCCTCACAACGCGCATTCCGTACCAACTGTGTCCAACCGTTGAACTGACAGGCAAATATGGTGTTGTTGGAGTTTATTAAAACAACATGCGCGCGTGTGCTGGCGGATAACATAACCGAGATTGAGGCCATTTCGTGGTCAAAACGGCCACCAAGCGCACCCATACAAACATACGTGGGTAGTAACACAGCCTCTTCCTTGCATGCCTCTGCGCATAATTCGCGCTCTCGCTCAGGATCAAGGTCAAGGCCAATGCTCCCAGCATTTGGGATAATCGCGCCTCCAGTTTCCAATAGCCGCTTACCACTCTCCGTTCGTAGGACATGTGGAGGAATAGGAACAATGTCTTCTTTATGTTTCTCTCGCAGTCGATTTAGGAGTATTAATGCTTTCATAAAGTCTGTTGTCGATTGACAACGGACGTACAGCCAAAATGGAAGCGATAATAATTCATCCCTTCTCTTTGCATCCAGCTTATCCCACTCTGCCAAAGACGCCCCTTCCATAGTTGCACTCATTCGGGTAAATTCCGCAACGGTAAAAGTGTACCTTTCATGAATTTGATCCAAAACAGAGGTAGGAATATCGTCCACCGTCGCATATCCTTCAGTGGGTGCCGACAATGAGAACCCAGCACCATCAACACTCCCATGGGTACCGTAGTTGTGGGGAGGGTTCTTGCAGGAGTCCATATCGCCAATGACAGCGTCACAGAAAGGCACATGAGAAAATGGACGCAATTCCGGACGATGTTTTCGCTCTTCTTCAATATATGCCTGCAGCCGAGAAAAGGCACCATCTGCGCAAAGGAAGTAACACCGACCAACAGAAGACTCCGGCTGCTGCTTATTAAACCGCCGCACACGCAAGAGTCGTAGATACTCCTCATATTCCCATCGGCCGTTTGACGGACTGTTCATTAATAAAACAGCAGCGACCTGCCCTGCCGCGTCGTAGAAATCATGCTGCACCACCTTGCGCTTCCATACACCAGCCATACGCGACATAGACCACGAGCTTTCTTTTGCCATCCATGAAGTAAACGCGTGGGTGAATAAAAACGATATCACCACCACCAAAAGACGGAGAGGAAGAAAAAAAGAGAAAAAAAAAAACCGATGATGTATTACCAAGGAAAAAGAAAACCACAGATGTAAGTAATAATACTATTATTTACATCGTAACGGCTTTCTGAATCAGATCCTCGGCTGTGTATCCTCCTCTGTCCCAGTTATCCTCAGTTCTTTTTCTTCCTCATGCCAAGGCAAACAAAAGCTACAACAACAAAAAGCAATATGAATCTACTCGAAGACTCCTCAAGAGAGGGAGAAAGACACTCACACACACACAAAAAAAAAAAAAAAAAAAAAAAAAAAATGCATATATATGCCAGGGTTTTTTTCTTTCTTTGACTTTTCACTTCTCCCCTCCCCTTAAATGCCAATACTCATTCTAGCCGTCCATTGGCCGTGGCTTCATTCCTCTTAGAATAATCTTCCGGGCAGCTGGCCGGATCCTGAAATAATCTATGGAAACCAAACAAGTTAGGAAAAAAGGTTCGTTATTTAATTGTTTCAATGTTTTCTTTTCATTCAATATATATAATTCCGTGGACCACTAGCATGGTCCTTTGTCCTCAGTTGGGATCTGAAATATAATTACTTACGAAGTGGCGGACTTTTGGGTCCTCCAACCACAAGACCCCGCCGCGTGGTTGGAATCAAAAGGGGGTGGGTGGGATGGCAAAATAAAAACAAATATTATCTGGCCTCTATCGGCTCCCTGCCCCTACAAAGTCGCGTTCTTCCCAAAAGATTCATACGGTAGAAAGTATCATAAATAATGCCTTCATTTATCAGGATATAAACATACATTAATTAAGTTAGCCAGCTCTCCCACGATCATTCTTTTCACAAGCTCCTAACAAAAAAAGTGCTCACAAATAGAACCGATACAAAAATAAAACAATAATCAAAACCTGAAAAGCAATGCGTCCCATTTAACCTTATTGAACTCCTTTTTATTCAGCTTAAAAAAGAGGAAAACAACAGATATTGCGAAAATAAATTTCAAAAACTGCTTCTGCTTTATTGTTACCAGTATGATTTTATTTCATTTTTCCTAAATATGCATATATATGTGTTTTTTTCCTCTCCCTTTCCCTCCCCTTCAACTCACAAAATTAAAAAAGAAACATGATTATAGCAATGCTTATACAAAAAAACAGATATAGATTGATAAATATCCTAACTGCAACACTCCCGACAGCGAGGATCAGAAAGAACCGGAAAGAGCAAAATCTACCTATACCCACGCTTTGGAATAGAACTCTGTCACATCCTTGGCGTCACGGGAAGCCCAAGCTGCATTGTTACGCATCCCCTCAACGCCCTGCTGAAAGCTGCGCGACATGCCCATCTGCTCCTTTTCATTAAGTTCATTCCAGAAGACTTCCATTTCATTTGCCACTGTTTCCTCTGCCCCATATTCAAGTAACTTTAGTGCACGACCAAGGATAAGACCCGGCAGCCTCATTGCGAGAATTGGCCACATGCGCCTGAGCTCCATTGCATATGCTTTGAACGTCTTTGTATTACAAGCCAAGGAGCTGAGGACGTAGAAAGTGTCTTGGCTGCGGACCTTCCCAGAGACAGCATATTCAAAGAGTTCAGCCACCAAACCATCAACCCCTGAAAAAGCAAGTGCACGAAGATAGTGTGTTCGTTCCATCGCATCCGAAGCCGTCTCGGCAAGCGCCTTTACCTCATCAAAGGCAGCTCTCCCATTTCTTTTCACAAAGGCGGTAAAAACAGCAGCCCGCAGATCTGAAGGTATTGACGTTTTTTGGCGTTCCGCGTATAATTTAAGGGCATACGCAATAGTTTCTTCATCTTCGGCTGCCACAAGACGTGCGAAAAGTGCAGCCCGCAGCTGAATCACATTATGGTCATCAACGGATTCAAAGGCATAACCCAGTCTTTTTATGGCGTTTGAGTACAATGTTCGAAAGTAAGCGTTATGCGCATTTATGGCCTCTTCACCTTGAGATGCCACAATTACTTTCAATTTGGTCTCAAAATCCATAATAGAGAGCCATACCGTGAGGTCGTCTTCATCCTTGTAGTATGAAAGAAGCTTCAACACCTTAACCGCACTGCAATATCCAGCGCGAGTAAAGGCATGATAATCAGAAAAGATGCTAAATCGATCAATATTAGACAGTTTCTTCGTCGACAAAGCAGAAAGTAAATTTTGGAGTAATTCTTCATCCTCATATAAGACACGACAAAATGCGGACTGATCATTATTCACCTTCACCCATGAAGGATGTGGAACAGGTACTGAATTTTTTCGTTCTTCCAAAACTTCGCGTTGAACACCATTTTCTGGTGTGGTAATAAGTAAAGGAATCTTCCAGACAGTTTCGTCCTCTCCCTCACCGGCGTCACCCGTAGCAAGAAAGCGATGTTGGGTTATTAGTAGGCTCTGTTTGTCGCGCAAAGAAGAAACCGTGAGAAATGGATAACCTTGCTTACCTGTCCAAAACTCCAAGATGGGCGCCAACGGTTTTCCTGCCGCTTTGCCCAAAAATTTCCACAAATCTTCTGTTGTCGCATTGCCATATGCGAAATGCTTTAAATACGAAGCCATGCCTTTCTGGAAGACATCTTCTCCAATAAAATTAACGACCATACGAACGATACCTCCACCTTTGCTGTAACTGATCGCATCAAAAATATCATCAATCTCCTTCGCATTTTGAACATCCACTTCCACAGGATGCGAGCTTCGTAAGGAATCAAGTTCAAAGGCTCGCGCGATTTCATCGTGTACAAACTGCGTAAATACATGCCAGCCAGGAAACAATTTGTTTACAGACCAATATTCCATATAGGTGGCAAATGATTCATTGAGCCAAAGTTCTTTCCACCACTGCATCGTCACAAGATTACCAAACCACTGATGTGCCAACTCGTGTGCCACCACCAAAGCAACATGCTGACGATGAGAGGCAGCTGAGTTCTCATCACATAAAAGGGCCGTTTCACGAAATGTAATAAGACCCCAATTTTCCATTGCGCCTGCAGCAAAGTCGGGTATAGCAAGAAGATCGACCTTGGGTAAGATATAGCTGGATTCAAAGAACTCTTCATAAAGTGGCAATACTTTGCAGGCAACATCCAAAGCGAATGAAGCCTTAGATTTATTCCCTTCAGTTGTAAAAACACGAACAAGTGTGTCTTCAGATTGACCATTCCGTACTCCATGCGTTTTTTTTATACTTTGCTCAATACATTCAAATTCACCAATCGTCCAGGCAAGAAGATAAGTCGACATTTTGGGTGTGGGAGCAAATGCCCAAGAGGTCTGCCCATTAACCTCTTCTTTGTAAAGATGTGGCATATTGGAAAGCACCATCATATTTGATGGGGCAGTGATAACCAATTCGAATACCGCTTTTACTGCAGGTTCGTCCCAGCAAGGAATTGCACGACGTGCATCCACAGCCTCAAACTGCGTGGTGCCCATGTGGCACTCTTTTCCCTTGACAATGTATTTGCTTCGGTAAAACCCGGCAAGTTTATCATTTATTTCTCCCTTATAGTCAATTGAAAGAACGGCTTCTCCAATAAAGGGTTTCTGTAAAGGAAATGTCGCTTTCATTTCGACCGCATCAAGAATTATAGATTCAATAGGGATCGTTTCCACGACAGAAGAATTCCCTGTGGGAGTAAGGGTCACCTTGACAAAGGATAACTCATTATAGTTGAGGGTAATGCTATTTTGAAAAATTTTTGCAGTTATCTGTATATCAACATGACCCGTGAACAAAAAAGCATCGAAGTCCGGCAATATGTTTATTTTATAATGGCGCGGCGTAGGATCATCAGGAAGAACATTTCTGATTTTCGCCATATTTTTCCTTTTTCCTACAGTTTTATTTATGTATTTTTTATTTTTTATTTTTATTTTCTTTTCCAAAATAGTGGGAAAGGTCGAAAGACAAAAAAAAAAAAAAAAAAAAAGGGTTGCACAGAAATGCCTTTTCCAGAAAAATACTGAAAAGGAAGAACGATATACTGAGGAAAAATAAAATAAAACAAAATAAAAAATATAATAATAATAATAATAATAATAAGTAAATAGAACAAAAAAGTGAGCAAAAAGCAATCTACATAACACTCATGATATGTATATATTATACAGCAATAAAGAATGACGTGAAGTTTCTCTTCAGTCTGTGGTGATAAACTGCACCCCGAACAGAATTCTTCCGATAAAGTAAACTAAAGGAGATAAATAAATAAATCATTCTAAGGAAATATCACAAATAAAATTTATATACATTTCTGATGAAATAAATACAATGTAACACTCTTTTTCTATTGATGAGAAATTGCTCATGTAGGGAAAAGGCACAATTTGCAACGACAATAGTAATTCAACAAGAAAAAAAAAAAAAAAAAAAAAAAAAAAAGCCACATAACCCAAGACAAATGATTTTAGATGATAAAATGTTTTACAGAGCCAAATACAAAATGGATTCATAGGGCATGGTTCTTCCCATTTTCCCTGTTGCATTTCTTTTCCAAAGTAGCCCCATTTCCTCTGCCTATATATATATATATGAGTGAAAAAAATAACAATGAAATAGTAATAACGCATAATCGGGATAAAGTTATAATATCAAAATAAAAACAATCTAAAGCTTTTTTCTAAATGATAATAAATTCCAATGATTCATTTTATTCATTACATTTATGTAAACAAATAATTTTCTCGCGAAAGATAATTGACTTATGCTCGCGCGGTAAAACCCCCAAAAATGCTCGAGTAAAAGATACTTTACAAGCACGTCTTCTCTTTTGAAGAGGAAAGAGCTCTACAGGCAGCGTTTGATACTCTAGAATGCATTCATTTCTCTTCGAATGCTTTGTATTATTGATGTTTCCCGTTCCACGCACGGCACAAGATGTAGAAAGAACCTTTTCCGCAATAACACTCTCCGACAAAGCTATGCGATCCTCAAGCTCTTTTAGCGTTACGCGAAAGCGATTTATGTCAGAAAGTTCATTTTTTTCAAAAGGATTTTGAATATGCTTTATCATCGGAGCCAACTTTTGAATTTTGGCTTTCCTCATCGAAATAAATTGCCGACTTTTTTCCCCTTCATTCAAGTGCTTTGTTCTAACCGATTTTACAGCGGCAGTTTCATCATTGGGTATAATAAAGGCGATATGTTGATGAGAATGTACATCCCATAAGGCCATATACAATTCATCTGGAATAGGGACAATTGATTTGTTTCCCTGAAACACGCAATCCAAGGAATTTTTTTCCTTTCTAAATAGAACACCTGTTGATACGGCCAAACATTTAGAAAAAACCCAACCCTTCCTTCTTTTCAATGGACTTAAATTTTCATCATATTGATTCGCAACAAATAGCTCGTCCAAAGTTGAGAACCCATCGCCTTCTACGTAACATCGTGAAATTCGTTCTAATCTTTTCCATATACCTCGGTTAAGAGACTTGTGTTGTAAAACAAAGTTGGAAGCCAAAGAAGCCTCAAAACTAGTAGTAACGCACGTTGCCACAGATGCAATTGGGGCCATATGCCCTTTATCATATGCATGCCGTTGTAGTTGCATTGGCTTTACCTGAAATTCCCTCGGTAATGTCCTGTCTGTATAAAAGGCATGTGTTTTATGGTTGTGACGCGCCACTTTAACCATTCCTGAAGTCAAATAGAAGCCACACCATAAAGCCATTTTTAGATTTTTGTCGTACAACAGTGCATAGTTACTACGTGATATTAACTGAAGCGTATCCTCTCTTTTCAAAACAACCATGCCATTTATGGCATTTGTGGTTTTGAAAGATATTCTGGCCCCACGGAGATTGCTTGGTTCCAACCACGCTGGATTGTGGAACCTATGATTCAAACAACGTTGCCCAGCCCCCATCACGCGTCTTACGCGGGTTCGAACCCACAAGCCGCTAAAAACCCCAATAGAATAAGAAGCACCCACCAGAAAACAAATTGGCATACTGAGCACCATCCAATTTGGGGTATATACAGTGTCCAATTGCCTTTTATTTATTGAAGAATCATTATTCCACCACATGCAGCGTCACTTAAATAACCTGGAAAAATGTCTTATTAGTAAATATAGATCGATACAAAAACAAAATTAAGCGAAAAAAAAAAAAAAAAAACAAAGAGGGCATAACCCAAGCCTTGGTATAGTTGGTTAATTACATTCCTCCAGAAATCACCCACAAGAGTAGGACAACAACAAAAGAGTATGAGTAAGTTTAATCATTTTATGTTGCTGCAAATAGAGATAAATATAAATTCCCTGACAGATTTCACACTGATCTGTTAGAAATCCACATTCGTTCCCGACAATAAAAGTAAGCAAAAACAGTGGCAGGCACGCAACCCGCCCCGCTCCTTGCTCAAAAAAAAAAAAAAAAAAAAAAAAAAAGAGAGACAATAACAGCCTGTCCCACCAAAAAGAAAACCACCGCGCCACAACAACCGCCACAGAACAAAACCGCCTCTTGCGTCGCTGGGCCGGCTTCCCCGCCACCCCGCCGAGGGCGGCAGCGCCCCACGCAGACAAACCTCTCCCGTATACTATCATTATTGTTTATTTTTAGCTGCGGGGGAATGGCCGGGCCCTACGAGTGGGCGGCAAAACGGCCCAGCCATGTCCTCTTTGCTCGGCTTGTTGGTGTGGGGCCCGCCCGACGCGACCCTCCCCGCCCCACGCGGGAGGCGAGCGAAAGGCGCACTCGGCACCTCCTTTTCGTCAGTCATGAATGATCGTGGGTGTGGGGAGTCACGCTGGCCTCGCCGTGGACCACGGAATGCATCCGTCGCGGCAATGGCAACAACATGGCGAGGGTGCGAGGTGTTTGTGTTTGATTTCCTCGTTCCTGTGCTGGAGGAAATCGAGTCGCGGACTGTTTTTTATACTTTTCTCTCCTGTGCCCTCTCTTCACTCCGTGTGCGTGTCGCTGCGTAGATGGGGTGTCTTTCAGGGCCCGTGAGAAGGATGTTATCGAGAGGGCTGGCTGCCCAATTTAATATATTTCCTGGCAAACCGTGGGGAGTATTTCCGTGTGATCCTTTTCCCATCTTATGGTCCTTTGAAAGGCCCCGACGGAAGGAACCAAGGAACCGATAGCGGCGCGACGGATTTTATTTATTTATTTTTATTTTTGCCATCCACCCTCCTTGATTCCGACCTTGCGGCGGGGTCTTGTGGCTGGAGGGCCCAAAGTCTTCCATTTCGTAAGTAATAAATATCCCCAATCCGAATACACCGCACCGTGGCACGAGAGTGCCTCTCAGAATATAAAAATATATTTGGGAAAAACTTTGGGGATGTGGCGAGGCCGCTGCCTCTCCATGGCCCTCTTCTTTCCCGTCCTATTTTATTAGGATCTTGTGAAAAGAATGATCGTGGGAGAGCTGGCTAACTTAATTGATTTATGTATATCCTGATAAATGAAGGCATTCTTTATGATACTTTCTACCGTATGAATCTTTTGGGAGGAACGCGACTTTGTAGGGGCAGAGAGCCGATAGGGGCCAGATAATATTTGTTTTTATTTTTTACAGACACACAGCCAGGTAAGTTTAAGGAAATGGCATTGGTTCCCTACACGCCCTCCGAGTGGTGTGATATTGGCGCCCGTCTCTGGGACATGGTGTGCCAATGTGACGAGACCCAGGTGCAAATGACGTTCGTTAACGGTAACCAGATGTCAGACGAGACGTTAACCGCGGCCGCATCATCGACAGGCTTGTGCTTGTTCCATGGACCAATCTCTAAAGCATGGCAGGGTTCTACTATTATTGGAAATATTGCGAATCTACGGGCGCCTCGGATCCCTAATTTAGAGACACAAGCGCTCCTGCCCGCTATGGGGGCAGCCCGGGAGTTGGGGCACCAACAAGGGCTCATCACTGCTGAAAGGAGCGCCTGAATTTTGATTACGCTAACGCCGTCGCGGACGTGCAGAATCGGAATGCTCAGCTCAACTCGCAGGTTGAGGAGGCGCATATTAACCTTTCGTTAAGGGAATCCAATATCGCCGGGGCCGGCAACCAGGTCTCAGAACTACAACGGCAATTGGAGGACGCTCACGCCCAATTACGGGAGCGCGAATTCAACTTGGGAAGGCTCACGGGTCAATTCCAGGAACGGGAGGCACGCCAAAATGCACAACAACCCGCGCGGGACGCGGAGACGGCGGGGCGGGACGAGGCCCCCGCTACTCGACACGTTGCCAACGGTGGCGTATCTACACTACCGCATCAAACGGATATCTTGATGGCTGGAGGCGTGCCTAGCAGCGCGGCCCGACACAGTTCGGCGGCTTACAGACGCCCTCACGGCAACGTTGGGAGACCACATTTCCACCCTTCCACGCCGTTGCCTTCCCGCACATCTTCCCTGGAAGCCCAATCACCTATGGAAGAGGACCGCGGTTTCTGCGCATTTGGCGTCACCACGTGGCCCACGCGTATATGGAATGAGGGCGCCTCCGGAGTCGTTTTCGACCTCCGGTGCGCATACCAATGCTGGCAACAGGAGAACGAGCAGGTTAAACTTGCCTTTGACAATTTGTTCGAGTGGATCGGCGTGCTGGAAGGCCTGCAGGATCCCACCGATCGCTTCATAAATTTGGGGAGGTCCCTACTGAATACATTCCGGATGCAGCTCACGATTGCATCCGATCCCAGCATCCGGCTCTCCAAACTGCGCGCCCGTCTTTACACCGCTGTTCGCCAGACGGACACCTATGCGAGGGCAGCCCAGCCTCTCGTCGATCGGCGAGAAACCCAACGCACTTTGCGATGACAACGATGTCATACCTATGGACACGAGGCATCTAAA